TCGGAGGACACAACATCTTTATTTTGTTTTTATGTTGTACTGAGTATCGAACCCAGCGCCCCACGCATGCGAGGTAAGCGCGCTACCATGTGAGCCACATCCCCAGCCCCCCAGCCATTTTTTATTTTGAGACAGAGTCTTCCTAATTGTTGAGACTGACCTTGAATTTATGATCCTCCTGCTTGGGTCTGTGGAGCTGCTGGGATCACAGTAGTTGCAACACCAACAGCCAAAGGGTGTGTGTCTCTCTCTCTCTCTTTTTTGAAAAGTCCTAAGTGCATCCTCAGTTTTTCTTAACTTTATAATCATATCTAGATTTGTAGGCCATTTTATTTCTTCAGCTAATTTTGAGAAAACAAAACGAAATACTCTGTAGTATTAATGCAGTCTTATAATCTAGCTGACTTCAAGTGTAACAAATATGGCTACCTTTAACACTTGGAAATTGAAAATGAACATATGCACAAAATGACTGTGAGTACATTCTTTTTTCCTTCCTTTTTTTTTTTTTTTTTTTTAAGTGCCAAGATTGAACCCAGGGTTGCTTAACCACTGAGCTATATTCCCCTATTTATTTATTTTTATGTAGCGCCAAGGATCAAACCCAGGGCCTCCCACGTGCCAGGTGAGCGCTTTACCACTGAGCCACAATCCCAGCCCCTCATAGCTCTTTTTAAGACAGGGTCAGCCAGCATGGTGGCACATGCCTGGAATCTCAGCAGCTCTGGAGGCTGAGGCAGGAGGATGGCAAGTTCAAAGCCAGCCTCAGCAAAAAGAAAGGTGCTAAGCAACTGTTTTTATTTAGAGACCCTGTTTCTAAATAAAATACAAAAAAAGGGGGGGGGGCTGCAGTAGTGACTCAGTAGTCAAGTGCCCTGAGTTCAATCCCCAGTACCAAAAAAAAAAAAAAAAAAGACAGGGTCTCACTAAATTGCTGGGGCTGATTTTGAACTCCAATCTTTTTGCCTCAGCTTCCTGGAATTACTGGCGTATGCCACCGCACCCAGTTTAACTGAATTTTTTTAGGTCACTTTTTTCAGGGTTTATAATGCTATTCCCAGGTAGAAGAGTCCATGGTTGGGAGCAAAGATAGCGCTCTGACCTCCACCGCATATGACTTGTTTAAGACTCTTATTAATGACCTGGATTAGCACGTGGAAGCACTGAGATCTTTTCCCCTCCTTTTCTCAAAGGAAGGACGAAAGCCTTATTCATTTGGGAATCTTAGCACCTTCCATAGTAGCTGATTGAAGTAATTGGATGCTAATCAAATTTGTTGATGAGACTGAAGTATGGATGCCATTAGCTCAGCAAGGTTGCTCACACCTGTAATCCCAGCAGCTCAGGAGGCTGAGGCTGGAGGATTGCAAATCCAAAGCAATTTAGTGAGTTGCAAAATCAAAAATATAACAGTCTGGGGATGTGACCCAATGCTTAAGTGTCCCTAGATTCAATTCCTGGTTAAAAAAAAAAACAAACTATATATAAATTATATATATATATATATATAAAATATATGGATGGCATTGATTTAAAAATTAATATGTAATATGATATGAACATTGGCTTTAAAATAGGGTGTGGTGGTATAGTGGTTAAGCGCCCCTGGGTTCAATCCCAGGTTCACACACACACACAAAAAAAATTCTGGGTATGTATCTCAGAGACCAAATGTTCCTAGGATTAGTTCCTCATATCACTAGATAAACAAGTAAAGTGGATGGTGACACAGATAAAACAAGAATAAAAAATTGTTGATAACAGTTAAAGCAGGTGATGGTCATAGAGGGGTTTATTTTATTCTTTTCTCTACTTTTGGAGTTATTTATTTATTTATTTGTACTGGGAATTGAACCAGGGATACTCTATCAGTGAGCTGCATCCATAGCATTTATTTTGAGACAGAATCTCATTAAGTTGCCCAGGTTGTTTTCCAATTTGGGATCCTCTGCCTCAGACTCTGTAGTACCTATGATTATAGGCATGGGGACCACAACCAGCTACTTTTTGGGTAGTTGAAAAACATTTTCTCCAGGTTCAGTGGCACATGCAATTTAGCGAGACCCTATCTCAACAGGAATAAAAAGGACTGGAAATATAGCTCAGTGTTAGAGTGTCCCTAGGTTCAATCCCTAGTACCACAAAACAAAAATAAAAACTTCGTTTTATTGAAATTCCCCAAAATTTGTTGTTGAAGCAAAGCTAAGAAGTCTTGCTAATTTGGAAGCGTTCTAGAGACATTTATTTATTTATTCATTCTTTTTTTTTTTTGGTCTGATTCTGTGGATAAAACCCAAGACATGGTAGGCATGGAGCTTCATCCCCAACCCTTTTTAATAATACCATTTTGAGAAAAGTTCTTGCTAAATTGCTTAGGCTGGTCTCAAATGTATAATACTCCTTCCTTAGCCTTCTGAGTAGCTGGGATTATAGGTGTGCATCACCATACCTGGTTTACTTAGGATGTTCTTAGAGGATCTAGGTAGTAGTGTGGTAGATGCCCCCAATTCCCATATAGAACACAAATGTTAAATATACCTGTAGCAAAGACACTTTACATATTAATTGAAGATGAACTAGTTTTCAAAAGTCACATTTCATAAACATTTAAAATTGTTGTTGATTTTTTTCAGAGTTTAAATTATTTCATAACCTAAACCTTTGTTACTGTTTTCAGGTTTTTTTTTTTTTTTTTCCACAGGTACTTGGAAAGATCTGAGGCCCTAGAAGTTGTCTATAAAATGAATAAAAATGGCCTATGTGCTGAGCACTGTTTTAGATATTCTGATGGGAAGGAGTATAAGAAAGGGTGTTGCCGGTCATGGTGGTGCACACCTATAATCCCAGCGGCTCCGGAGGCTGAGGCAGGGAGATCATAGGTTCGAACCCAGCCTCAGCCATTTATCGAGGCTGTAAGCAACCATCTGAGACCCTGTAAAAAATAAAAATGGTGGGGGACGTGGCTTAGAGGTTAAGCAACCTCTGGGTTCAGTCCAGAGTATATGTATGATCCAGCAGCTCCACCTCTTTCCCTTTTTGGTACTAGAGAGGTACTTTACTGCTGAACTATGTCCCCAGAACTTTTAATTTTTTTTTTCTTTGAGACAAGTTCTCACTAATTTGCTGAGAGTCTCACTCCTTTGCTGAAGCTGACTTCAAACTTGTGATCCTTTGCCTCAATTTTCCACATCACCTGTTTTCTTTCCTGCCCTCAACTCATACCTCTTCACTGTAGGTTTTTTTAAAAATCCATTTTTACTATCATTCCTTTTATTAGTCTACTTGATTTTGGTTAGGTTTTTGTTTTTGTTTTAGTTTTTCAGTACTGAGGATATAACTCAGGAACTCTACATTCTTTTATTTCTCCTTTTCTTTTTTTTGCAAGAGAGTCTTACTACACTGTCCATACTGACCTGCATATTTGCCATCTTCCTGCCTCAGCCTCCCCAGTAGCGGAGATTACAGGCATGCCCCACCACAACTGGCTTGAAGAGTGTCAAGAATTTCATTGCATTTTCCTAGATTGTATATATGTTTCTTCTTGTTTGCAGAGTGTTTTGGAAAACAAGAAAATGGAATGAAAAAACATCGACATTTGAATCGGATGAGAATGTTTCCGTCCCACGCAGAAAAAAAGCAATTTAAGAAGGCCAAACTTTTGAAATCTAGAAAACAGAGCGAAGAGCTTCAGGAAGCTAAACGAGAGATCACATTCCCCTGTTCCTTATGCAAGCAGGAAATTGTCACGACTGGCATTTTCTTCCACAAGAAGCAACATGCAGTTCTGGCTACATTGGATTTCCCATGGATGGGTGGTAGGAAACCCCCATTTTCAGTCCTGGATGCTCAGAGACAATTTATAATTTCCCAACTATTGTCATCTTTTGAGTTCAATGAAAAAATCCTACGGAACATTAATAATGCTTTTGAACTACTTGAGAAAAGACAAATCCCATTATACTATAAGATTATTGATTACATTGATGGGAGTTCCGTGTCTTCTCAACATATACCTCATCTATTAATTAAAGGTGTAGCCATCTGCGGAGACAGAAATGCTGCGTGGAAAGTAGACATGAATGATAAATTCACTGTCATGAATAATTTTGGCAATAAACCCAATGTGTGTTTTTTTGGTTTGTTTGACGGACACCACGGTGCCGCAGCAGCAGACTTGGCATCAGCAGAGCTCCCGATTTTACTTCTCCATCAACTTTCCAAATTTGATCCTTCCTACCAAATGACGACTGAACAGCAAGAAATCATCAATTCCTTCCACACTGTGTTTAGAGAAGAATACACGGCAATAGAAGACCTCTTCTCCTCCATATACAAAAAGCCAAGAGCATTGAAGTATGAGTATGAGGACACACACAAAGCATTTGCAAAAGCGTTTTGGAGAATGGATAGGCTTTTACGTCTTGGAAGGAATGAAGTTTCCAGGGTCCGATGGAGTGGCTGTTCTGCAGTTACTTGTGTACTGGAAGGCAGCATTAAAAATCCTCATGTTAATAAGAATTGGAAAGGAACCAATAACTGGGATGGATTATCAAAGAACAACCCTTCCCAGATGATGCCACAAATAATTTCAGGAGTATTACACATTGCAAATGCTGGTATGTGTATCTTATAGCAATAGATAAAACCTTAACATTTTTGATTCCCGGCAGTAAAATTCATGCTCCCAGAATATTAATATTATTATTTAGTTACTTATTAATGCCTAGAATCACAATGATCATTTTAAGAAACAATAACCAAGCTGAGTGTGGTGGTAAATGCCTATAATCCTAGTGACTTGGGAGTCTGAGGCAGGAGGATCCCAAGTTTGAGGCCAGCCTCAGCAACTTAGTGTGGCCCTAAGCAACCTAGTTAGATCCCATCTCAAATTTTTTAAATTGATTTTGTTATTTTTTTTAAATACATGACAACAGTGGAATGCATTACAATCCCTATTACCTATATAGAGCACAATTTTTCATATCTCTGTATATAAAGTATGTTCACGTCAATTTATACCATTATGCATGTACTTTTTTTTTGCATTAAAATTCTTTTTTTTTTTAACTCTCCTCTGTCTTCCTTAGAGCAGACTTTATTTTTTTATTTTTTTAAAGAGAGAGAGAGAGAATTTTTATTTATTTTTTTAGTTTTCAGCGGACACAACATCTTTGTTTGTATGTGGTGCTGAGGATCAAACCCGGGCCGCACGCATGCCAGGCGAGCGCACTACCGCCTGAGCCACATCCCCAGCCCTGCATTACAATTCTTAATACACATATATACCACAATTTTTCATATCTCTGTTTGTATATAAGGTGTATTGACACCCAATTCAAGTCTTCATACATGTACTTTGTATAATGATGTCCATCACATTCCACCATCCTTGCTAATCCCCTTCCCCCTTCCTTTCCCTCCCTTGATCTAATTCTCCCTTGATCTCCCTCCCTACCCCACTATGAGTCACCCCCCTTATATCAGAGAAAACATTTGGCATTTTTTTGGGGGGGGATTGGCTGACTTCACTTAGCATTATCTTCTCCAATGCCATCCATTTACCTGCAAATGCCATGATTTCCCATCTCAAATTCAAAAAATAAAAATAAAAAGTGCTAGGGATGCTGGGCGCAGTGGTGCACGCCTGTAATCCCAGCAGTCTGGGAGGCTGAGGCAAGAGGATCGCAAGTTCAAAGCCAGCCTCAGCAACTTTGAGGTGTTAAGCAACTCAGTGAGACCCCTCTCTCTAAATAAAATACAAAATAGGGCTGGGGATATGGCTCAGAGGTTGAGTGCCCCTGAGTTCAATTCTCAGTATCCAAAAAGAAAAAGTGCTGGAGATGTATTCAGTGGTAAAACACCCCTGTTCAATCCCCAGTTCAAAAAAATAAAAAAAGAATAACCCCAGAAAACTAGTTGTACATATTTTTCCAAGAGAAAGCCCTCATAATCCAATCATTTCACTTCTAAACATTGTTTTATTTTTTTTAAGGTTCTAAACATTGTTGCATTGCCTGTGAGCTTCTGGGGGAAACTTCCAGATCCAAACCATAACAACTTAAATCCAAACAAAACAAACAAACAAACAAAAAAACACTGGACACATTTACTTTGTTCATAACAATAGAAAGTTGTTTGATTATTCTTAGTGTGGTTGCTCAAATTGGTCAATTATTATGATAATTAATACAAAAATTAATAGACCATCCTCATGCTCAGGGGCCAGGAAACACTAGTTTAATCTCAGAAAGATTAACAGTTCATGCTGCAATTCTATATGTGTGCATGTGTGCATTCTCTCTCTCTCTCTCTCTCTCTCTCTCTCTCTCTCTTCTGATACTAGGGATTAAAATCAGCGGTGCTTTACTACTGAGATACATTTCCAAACCTTTTATGGTTTTTTTTAATTTTGAGACAGAGTCTCCCTAAGTTACTGAAGTTCTCAATAAGTTGCTGACTCTGGCCTTGAACTTGTGATGTTCCTGTCTTAGAAGTCCCAAGTGACTGGGATTATAGGCATGTACCTATATATATCCAGCTTGCCTTCTTTGTTATTTATGTTTAGGAAGTAATTCTTCTGACCTTTAAAGTTTTTATTTATTTATTTATTGGTACTGGGGATTGAACCCAGAGGAGTTTTGCTGCTTTTTATCTTGAGACAGAATTTTCACTAAATGAGGCTGACCTTGAATTGTGATCCTCCTGCTTTAGCCTTCGATTACTGTTGAGATCAAAGGTGTGTGCCCCTGTGCCCAGCTGACCTTTAGTTCTTAAAATCCTAGCTTAGGAGTTTGCCAAAATGGAAAATCCAGAGATAAAGAGTCTTAGAAAAATTAACCTGAGTTCCATGAGTTGTGTTGATAGTGTTCCATGGCCCTTTCCGTACAAAAAAATTGTAATTTGTGTTAGTGTCTGTTTACTGAATACTGGATACAGAGTAATTTTTTTCTCATTTAGTCTTTCAAAAATACAAATATCTAATTATATCTTGGTGTCACTAACTCAGTATTTCAGATGAGAAATGGAAACTCAGACAGGTGAGATGATTTGTTCCAGGTTTCAGAGGTAATGAGGACTGGACCTGGAAATCCTTTCATGATGTCATGCTCTACCTTTCAAGGAGTTTGCCTCAGAGATCACAAGGCTGGGCCTCAGTGAATGGTTTTGGGGCAGACACGGCATTTCAAGGGCCACACAGTTACAAAATCCATTACAAGGCCAAGGCCCGTGACAGTTAAATATTTCTGATACAGCTCTACTTCTCAGCCCCAAATGTGGAGGACTCCAGATTAACCAATATCAAGAAACTAAGTGCAATGCCAAGTGCCTCAGAGTCTTTGTCATTTTTTGTGTCTACACTGAGGTTCCAAACAACTTTAGAGCAGGCCTACTTCAAGGATTGATGTTTTTCAGATTTCAGATTTCAGGCCAACCTAGGAACTGACCCTATATTTTTGGAATTTTGACATCTATTAGAAAAATCATGACTGTATTGCAGAATGCATTTTTTTTTCACATTATGTCTATCTATTAAAATGTAGCTGGGCATGGTGGTGTATGCCTGTAATCTCAGTGATGTGGGAGGCTGAGGCAAGAGGATCGCAACTTTGAGGCCAGCCCCAGAAACCTAGCAAGGCCCTAAGCAACTTTTTCATTTTTGTAGTGCTGGGGATTGAACCCAGAGCCTTGCACATGCTAGGCAAGTGCTCTACTTCTGAGCTATAACACCAGCCAAGAACTGTGGTTATTCCCCCCCACCAATCCCCCTGGGGATTGGACCCCGAGGCACTTAACCACTGAGTAACATTCCCAGGCATTTAAATTTTTTTTTTTTTTTTTTTTTACTTTGAGACAGATCTTGCTAATTTGGTGAAGGGGGGCTCAAATTTGCAATCCTTCTGCTTCAGCCGCCTGTGTTACTAGGCTCATAGGCATGTACCACAATATCCAGGTACATTTTGTATTTTGTAAAATAATTAGCCAGATGTAGAGGTGCACATTGTAATTCCAGTGACTCATGAGGCTGAGGTAAGAAAGGATCACAAATTTGAGGCCAGTCTCAGAAATATAGGAAGAACCTCTGTCAAAAAACAAAACAGAACAAAAAAGCCCAAAGAAAGAAATAAGAAACAGATATAATTAGAGCAAGGAAATTTGTTCTCTTGTTTGAAATTCATAAAATATAAAATTCCTAAAAAAATTAGGTTTGTGTACAGCTCTAGAATTTTAAAAATACATTTACCTTATAATAAAACATGAGTGTAGGGCTGGGGTTGTGGCTCAGTGGTAGAGCGCTCGCCTAGCACATGTGGGACCCCGGGTTTGATCCTCAGCACCACATTAAAAAAATAAATAAGTGAAATAAAGGTATTGTGTCCAACCACAACTAAAAAATAAATATTTAAAAAATGTGAGTATAATGATGAAACTGTTGAATAAATGTTGAATTTGTGCATGTGTAAAAAATTCCAAAATAACATTCTTAATTTTTTTTTATTATTCCCATTTTTATTGCATTTTATAATTTCTCTTAATGATATTTATTTCCTTTTAATCCTCAAAGGATTAAAACACTCACATAACTAAATATATATGTATATGTTTGTGTGTATGTATATCACAATTAAACTTTTTCCTAGCATCAAAAACTCCACGAATTTTACATCTCCCCCCATCTCCACCCCCAGTTCTGAGGATTGAACCAAGTGCTTCACACATGCCAGGCAAGTATTCTACTACTGAACAACCTCCCCAGCCCTTTCAAGTTTTCTTTTAAGGCAGGGTCTGGATAAATTGCCCAGGCTGGCTTTGAATTTGAGATGTTCTTGTCTCAGTCTCCCCAGTAACTGGGATTACAGTTGTCTGTCACTCTGATTTTAGATATCTTATTGGGCATAAGGTGACATCTCATTGTAATTTTGATTTCCATTTCCCTGATGATATTGGGTATCAAGTGCTTATTAGCCATTTGAATATCCATAAAAATGCTATTCAAATGTTGTTTTTTTTTTGATGATATGGTGGATTAAACACTCGGGGCACTCTATCACAACTACATCCTCCGTCCTTTTTTATTTTTTATTTTGAGAAAGGATCTCTCTAAATTGTTGAGGCTGGCCTTGAACTTGAGATCTTCCTGTCTCAGCCTCCTGAGTAGCTGGGATTACAGGTGTGGGCCTTCTTCTTGTCTTCCTAGAATAAATCCTGCTTAATCAAGGCCTATAATTTTTTACATATTGTTGGAGTGGTTTGCTAGTACTTTGTGAAGGAGTTTTTCATTATGTATCTAGGTTAAGGATTTTATCCATCCATATAGATATCTAAATCTATATATATTTTCTGGTTCTGGGGATTAAACCCAGGGCATGGTACACGCTAGGCAAGTGCTCTGTCACCCCAGTCCCTCTCTTTATTGATATTCTCTATTTGGTGGACCATCATGCTTTCCTTTTGGAGCCATACCTTCCTTTAGCACTTTATCTGATAAAATCCAATGTTTGGGCTTCCTCCATTCTTATTATCTCATTTCCCTGCCTTTGAACGAGCTATACTTTTATGTTTCTTTGTCTTATAATTTTTGGTTTTTTAAAATTGGATATTTTAAGTAACAGATTGT